CCGGGTGCCGGTGCTGGTGCTGGTGCTGTGAGCTGGCTGTGCACGTGCTGGGTACCGGTGCTGGGTGCTGGTGCTGGGCGCCGTGAGCTGGCGTGCCGGTGCTCGGTACTGGTGCCCGCTTCTGACAGTGAAGTGAAAGCAACCGCCGCTTCTTGACAGTGAAGGGTGGCGACCTGCCGCTTGTAGCAGTGAAGGGCGACCAACAGCCGAAGTGCCAGCAGTCATGGGCCGCATGAACTTATGCACGCAACATCATACGGTGTGTCGCTTGAGGGTCTTCGTATATTAGCGCTGTGGGGTATTTACACTCTTCAGGTATTGTTTTGGCCGACAGCTGTGTCAACCGCTGTACTGTTTGCGCGCGTACTTTTGTACGTATAATGTTCTATGCGCAACGTCAGGCTCTCAACCGGCCATTGTTTCAGCGTGCTTCAGCATGCTACACACACAATAGTCGTGCTGGGTACTGCTTGGCCTTGGCCTTGGCCTTGGCATAAACTTATACGTGCAAGATCGTACGGCCTTATCGTTCTTCAGACCGTTGCTTCAGGAATGCTAAAAAGTCAAAATAGTGGCGCTGGATACTGCTTGGCCTTGGGCCTGTTTGCGTGCATACTTTTTGTGCGCATAAACTTACGCGCGCAAGATCATACGTTGTTATTCCCCAAATAGGGATAGCTATGGGGTTCTTACTGCAAAAAAGAATGAGCCGCGCGCGCTTTCGAAAGGGTGTCGGTGCTGGTGCTGGTGTTGTGGTCCTGGGTGCTGGTGCTGTGAGCTGGCTGAGCGCGCGTTTAAGACGGGCGGCGGCGCTGGTCGGGTGCTGGTGCCGCTGCCGGTGTTGTCAGCTGGCAAAGCGCACCGGTGCTGGTGTCAGCTGGTTGTGCGCGCTGTGGAGGTGCCGTAAGCTGGCTGTGCAGGCCAGCCAGTCGCGTGTCAACAGGTCGTGGGATTCTGCCTAGCTATCTGGGTCTATGCTGGTGTAATTTGTTTACCAGGCACCATATCCTTACAATATACTTGCCATATTTTGCATAGCGCGTTTCGACTACTCCTTGCAAACAATAACATTGCCTTTGCAATACAGCCCAGATTCCTGTGAAGCTGTAGCCCCAATGTCTCCCATGAAAACCTTTGGACATCCCCAGCCGTGTGCTTAGCAAAACATATCATCAGTGGTTTCAGAGTAGATGGCACAATCCCTGCATTTGGTGGTTGACATGGCTCCCCATCTGTCTAAGACATCTTGGAGTTTGTGCAATTTTGCACCGCGACATTCAGGCATTCTTCCCTATCCATGTGTGTGCTTGCCAGGCGAAACGTCAGAAAGCTGAGACGACAAAGGTGGCTTCAACCCGGGACTCCAGGTGCGGTTTGCTTTGAAGCGCAGATTAGACTTTTGGTTTCAGCTTGCCCAGACATGCCCACTGTGTAAGAACGTCGATGCTCTGACCGGAAGTTCACATCTTTATGAGTTGCGCAAACTTTTTCAGCAGACTTTGTTACAAGGCAGACTCGTGAAGCTCGAAGGGAAGCAAAGAAAGATTGGGCAGCTGCAAGAGAGGTTGGGTGTGGTCGGCCACTCCTCGTTTGCGCAAGCTGCACAAGATAAGTTTATAGAAGTTCATATCTTCTTCCCCCTAAGTAAGTGCACCGTTTTTTCGCCTTCCCCGTCGGTCTGTCTACAGCAAAAGTCTTAAAGGCTGAGGCTTGAAGATTGCTGCGACTTGTTGTTTTCACATGTTTTCACATGTTGTTGAACATAAGCGGGTAGTGAGATGGAGTGAGATGGAGGTCTATGGCTGGGGCCATCTCAAGACGCAGCTAGCAGCATTGCACCTGGCAGAGCTGGAGGCATGTGCTAAACACTGCAGAAACATGGGACAGGCCAGAAAGAACTACAGGTTGATTTCTTTGTTTGGCCATCTAGCCACAACATGGGTTGTGTCTGAAGTTGCCTGCACCGCCAAGGTATATACATACACATTTTGCATGATTTGGCTTGACGTTTGTTTGTTGAAGCCATTTCAGGGAGGTGCACTTGCCAGAATTCAACAAATGCCTTGATGCTGCAGCACATCAGTGATGCTTGGGGTCGGTCACATGAGGTCATCACATACGTTGTCGCCAGGAGCCGAAGAAGGCACGATGGCTTCTGCAAGAAGCCTTGCCTGGCCTTGAGGTGTGGATTCAGTGGAGAAACGTCATAGCTAAAGGCTATAGCATGCAGATGCAAGCAGATGCATGCGGGTTTGTGGGTCTGTTTGTGATTTGGACACTTGCGCCACTTTCTGTTTTTGCGCGGTTCAATTTGACTCAAGCTCCTTGTATCGGCTTGTATCTCCTCTTGCTACTGAACATTAATTTCGATCACTACATAAATATTGAAGGAAGGCCCAAAACCAATTTCGATCACTACAGAAATATTGAAGGAAGGCCCACCAATTGAAGTACCTATATATATACAAACTCTGTCTGAACCTATTTCTGCGAGGCTTCCCTCGGACTGCATAAATCGACATTGAAGGCAAGACCGCGAGGTTGACGTTAAGATGGGCTGCCTTGAATGGTTTGGGTCTCCAACCTCAAGTCGCAATACTGACATGCAATTTGCCTCTGTGGACAAAAGGTGTCGGTTCCTTGATCATTGTAGAGACTTAAGCAGGAAGACGTTGCAAGAGTATGGAAAACATTGGAAACGCAGGTGGAAGACCAGCACACACGTTGTCGCACACGATGTCTGACGACGTTGCTGCCGATGTCTGACGACGTTTTCATGTGACAGGCCCTGCGGCTCCTTGCACTGCTGCAGCCAGAACTGATTTGGCTGCAAAAATGGAAGCGCTCCTGCGAGGCGAGAGGCTGAACCATGCGCGGGTAGGTCACTGAAAGACGGGGTCCGGATGGAAAGCGACAGAATAAGAACTAAGAAGGTAGGAGGATTTGCTAGTAGGTTGGAGGCCATCGCTAGTAGGATCTATTAGGTTGGAATAAGACGTTGGAAGCTACCCGTCGCTGCAGGCAGGAGAGCTCGAGTCATCCAAGGAAGCTTCTTTTCCACTTCCATAAAACACACTTTTTGCATGGTCCAAAAGGTTCCTAGATGTTCGATGGCATTAAACATCCATAATATTCTTGGACCGTCAATTCATCATACTGCCAAGAAATGCAAGAAATGGTGGAGTGAGCTGTGTTGGTATGTTGTTGCATGTTGTTGCAAACAGTACTGATCGTGTCGTATTTTGTAATTCGTGCATTCCCGCGTGAATTGTCCCAGAAACGCCTTGCTGGCCAGGCACTGCTGGGTCCGTCGCACATTGACACCATTGAGATGCTTGATGCGAACTTGTTTCGGATGAATACAGCAGTCCCACGGTATCGCAGACAACGTCTAACCCACTCTGACCCTCTCACTGTTCTCTTTGCTCTTTACTCTGCCCCGATTGAATCATCATTCAATCTCAATGACTGTGAAAGCTTTCCTTTCATGAATGTGGATGGGACGGTACCAATGTATATATATAATTATAAAACTATATACACTATGAGTTGACGAGCTTTATCATGCGTGAAGACCGGTCTGATGCTCTTTAATATTGCTTAATGCTAGTGCTTCGCAGATTGGGAAAAAAACACTTACAGAAGTAAGGTTGCTTGATGTTAGTCCTGTAGTCCACTCGGGCAAAACTTGTACAGAGCAAAACCTACAATGAGCAGCAACTGACAACTTTCGAGTCATTTGAAATGCACATGATATGCACACTTCGACAACTCTTATCAAGCATGCTGTTGAGAGACTGTTCATTGCCCAGCAGTTCTGGCAGAGACCCATGTAACATAGTGTAGCTCCGCGTATTTAGAAGCCCGAGCGGGTCAAAAAGTGAACATTTCCAATGAGACAAGTGTGTTGAACGAAACTTTCTTGGTGCTGAGGGCAATGTGGCATTTAGCAACTCATTTACACCATGCTGGAGCATACCAAGATGCTATTGAGACTTGGCTTAACTTGCTAGCTGGCGACCATGGGGGCAAGAAACACGATCATGTAAAGTGGACTTCTTGCACTAGATCAACTTCAACATAGGGGCATCAGTGGATGCGCTGGCTCTACAGTGATATGTTTGAAACCTAACGTCGGATGTAGCAAGATGCCAGTAATTAATGCTCTATGATGACATCCCCATGCTTTCTCTCCTTCTCAGCTCCATCTGTTCCGTGTAGCGTTTTCGTTGGGTCTGAACATGTTCTTTTTGGATCAACTTTGATATTTTATCAACGCTTTTTCGCAGGGCAAAATGATGGTTTCGACTCCTCGACGTGCTCATATTCATTTGCACTTGAATCCCCGATTGAAACCTGTCAGGAACTCTACGCTTCTGTTGCTTGCCGTTGCCCTCATCTTCAGGTGAGTGCCCTGCTTTTGCAGGCAACGGTCCTTCAGGAGCACTGGGGTCCTCATGTTTGATCTTCGCTTTTTGCGACCAACAGACGTGGACTGCAAGCTCTTCACCACATGGTCTTTCTCCACCATGGTGAGTGGTGGCACAATGGTGAGTGTGCCACCATGCACTGCTCGCGCTTTCGCACAGGACGCAGGATCCATGGGCCATGCAGAGCTACTGGTGCGTCAGGCGATTAGATCTCTGGAAGCTGACAGTCACCATGAGGCGGCGGCTGCACACCAGTGGCGCGGATGCAACAAAGCGCCATGCGCTAGGCATGCGCGGATGAATGAGTGTTCATGCAGACGGAATATTTAGTTTGCCAGTTAAATTGACATCAAACAACTGCAACTATACCTAAAGTGGTTTGCGCTGAACCAGGTATATGTCACATGTTTGACCCTGAGGTTCTTGGCAGAAATCCTGCTCCTGCAGCATGCGGAATCGGCTTTAGAAGCACACTCCAGGCGGATTGGAGCACAGAGGAGCACAGAGGAACACCGATTCTAATCGATCAGATTTCAGGGCTTTCAGGCTTTTCAGGTCATGGCTACTCCTTTTGAGCTACTCCAGTTGTATCCAAATGCCTCTATGGCCTCTACTCCAGTTGACCGATTACTTCGAAGAAGCCACAGAGAGCTCCACACTTGGAAGGCGGGACCGGGGATCTCTCCCGACAGAGGATCTCTCCCTCCTTCTGGAGGCGGGGTGAGAACTGCCCAAATCACGAACATTTGTCAAACTTCCTACAAGTCTAGTAAACCCCGAGATTCTTCGTCGTTTGTGCCGGCAGATTCTATAGCTTCTATAGCTTCCTGCTTTCTTTGTGCCACCTTTTCTTCGCCGCCGAACACCCACTCCGCGGCGACCCCTGCCACTCGGCCGGCACGGCGCGACCCGAGCGAGGCAGAGCAGCTCTTCCGCGGGGCGAGAGACGGGTCGCTCGATGCCCGGCTCCCTCGATCGACGTTTGGGCTTACACAGGCGGAGAGTCACCCGACGACAATGGGAAATGATTCATTGATGAAAGGATTGGATCTGTGCCAAATCGTGCAGAATCTGGTGGTTCCATATTGTAGCGCTTGAATCATTACATGGGTGGAGAATAACACCCCGAAGACACGAGAAGAAGACACTATGGACATCATAGAAGGTGTGGACCATGAATGAAACTGATATCAGACATTATCAGTATATCAGAGTGGCGCGAGATGTTTTTGATTCTTCCTCCACGGCGCAGACCTTGCTGCAACTGGCCCTTTTTGATCGCTTCGATCAACGGGTGGCAGAAGCGGAAGCTTTGCTCAGAGAGGCACGAAGACGCTTAGGGTCCTGGCATGTCGTGGCAAAGAGCCAAAGTTGCTTTAAACAGTTTGTTCATCGATACACAGTGGACAGTGCACTTTTTGAGCCGAGTGTGGGTGCTTTAAGCGACGATGCTGGCATAAATGTTGCCTCAAAGGAGCTGCGACATGTTTAAATTAATGTAGATCCGTATGGAAGCTCACCAACTAAAGACCGAGATGAACATCAATATCATTGAACATGATATAAGTGCAGGCCCAAGGCCCATAGTGACCCTTCCTTGAAGCCTGGAGAGGGATTGGTGCATGTTTGACCTCTTTGGACAAAGAGACACTTGCGTGGAATTTCGATGAACAACTTTCCATCTCCAGGGCGGATCAAATTGGAAGGCAACTCTTTGAATAACCATTTGTTGCTTCGAACGCATTCCTGAGGCAGGATATTTTGCATTCATGAATGGCAGGAGTTGAAACATCAAGACCTGTGGACACCAGACTTCTTTGCCTGCAAGGACCCCAGCTTTTCAGGACCACAGATTCTCACATTGCTTACTTTGAAGCTAGACATCGCTTTATTTTTTTCAGAGTGGCGTACCATTCCGGCGGCATACCTCAAAGAAACTCACTATAGTCAGAACATCACAAAGGGTCACAACAGCATAGCTGGAACATGAGAAAAGCATGGGAAAGCATGGGCAAGCTTGCAGAGAGAAGGACGAAGAACATCCTGAGGCCAAGCAAGCTTGGCATTCTGCTTACAGCTGCAAGGCGAACAGTACGACTCGCCGGTGGGATTCCAATGATTGTGAGTCGGTATAAGGAGGGGTAACTGCATGCAACTCGTTTTATTTGCCATGAAGCTCATGCCGTCCTTTTCGTTGTCAGACTTTTTTTGCGATAAAATAGGACAAACGCATGTCGAACTAGAAATTGTACAAAGTGCATAAAGTGCATGATCAGCTCACAGTATTCTTCTGTTTAGCTTTGCAACTTTGTACACTTCCGCTTCAATCCACACCGGTTCTCCATGCTTGTAACCTTCTTTGTCTCAAGTCTGTATCACTAAATGCCTCATGAAGGCCGTGACGAAGAAGCCCAAGACCTGTACGGCAAGGCACCGTCTCTTCAACTTGGTATGAAGCATTGGGGTTGTGCCATGTCTGAGTCTAGGTCTAGGCCTACCTTTGCTTGTGAGACACCTTTCTATTTGAGAAGTTGACAGCGGTCTGGACTCGAGGGTCCTTCTTTGGTTCTTTTGTTCAGACGGCAGTGATGATTCTCGAGTGTTTGATTGAAACTCACCCTGCAAAGGTCCTGCCGGAATACTGCCGCTGGGCTGACACCCGTCCAAAGAACTGGAAGGCAAGTGGTGTTCTTCGAAGAAGCTGGACATGGAAACTCAAAGCAATCAGTATTAGCAAGCTTCTTCATTGATGTTGTTGAACCGCCAAAAGCAATGTCATGAACTCAAGTGCAGATGCATGCAGCTTCTACCTGTTGCTTTCGAGTGGTGGTCACATCCACCTGATCTGCGACCGACGCACCCTTGGCCTTGTGACCTGCAGGTTTCGGCTTTGTCTCTGGGTGCTTCTGTGGTAGGCCACTGGCGAGCTTTTTCGAGTTGAATTCAGATGAACCCAGCCTTCATAGTTTGCTCATATGATTCATATGGCCGGATGCATACCTATGATGCTATGGCCTCATCCAGGTGCTGTCAGCGCTGCGTACAATTCTGCTTGCCTGGATGGGGACGTCACAAAGCTCCGATGGGCCTTGGAAGCCTCGCAGCCTGACCGACGAGTGAGACCTGGCGAGGTAGACTGAGCCGAGCTTTGCAATGCTCCGTAGAACTCTTGGTGAGGCTTGAATTTCGATTAGTTTTCAATACCAGAGTATCCAGAGCGTAGGACATTTCCATGCTTTGGTTGATGCAACAAACTTCTGGACTGGGGGAGCTAAGCGACTTTCAGTCTATTTGTGACCCCTGCGTAATGTGGGATGCCTGATAGTCGCAAACTGCACTGAGCTTTCCTGTTCAACTGACCCACAATACAGCCTGCGGCCTACGGTGAGCAAAACCAAGCAACTCATTTTTGTTGAACCCTTCCCGTGCAAAAACGAGATGCTCCCAGGAGCGCCTGTATCGCCCAGCACCTGCTGCACTGCCTGCCCGCAGGCGCTTGGTGCCATCAACGTCCCTGTCCTTCTGTCCTTTTGTTTGTTCCCCTTGGCTGTCATTGAAGCATTGGACGAATGTCGGACTTCTGGCCACAGAGGTTTTTGCAACCTTGATGCTGGAACAACAGATATCGTGCTGGATATCAGTTTTGCGACAGCTGGAAGACTTGTGCAGACTTGCAGGTGGCTCAGAAGAAGAGAGGCAAAGACTCCAAGAGGAATATCAGTCGCCAACCTGGGCTAAGTTTTGCACGTTTGTTGAATACAGTATTAATATGTATACACATACATATAAGTATATAGAGTCGGTCCCACTACCTGTAACCATCGGTAAACAATTATCACTCTTTTTGAACAAGGTCTTTACTAACCATAATCATCCACTGTTACTGGCAATAGAATATATACTCTATACATATATATATAATATTACAGTACAGTATATTGTTTTGTATTATGCATAATACATAGTCACTATAATGCTTCTTACAGCTCCAGCTTCTCATCGCTTGCATGCTCTCACATGCGCTGAGTTGTTCTATGGCTATATACACATCGCGTGCGCACCTGCCAACCTGGAATACTTGCACCGAGGTTGGCAATGAAAGATGCCAAGCTTGGAGAAGACGAGGCGCAGGCATATTAATCAGGCTGGAGGCCATTCGCTATTAGGTTGGAGGCCATGGCTTTTAGGTTGGAAGCCATCGCTATTAGGTGGGAGGTAATTGCCAGATGTCCAACCGGACTATCACGGGTGATGAGTCAGTGAGCATGCATGCAGTCCAAGAGTCATGAAGACTCAGTATCAGCAAAAGGAAAGGAGGTCATTGCTATTATGTTGATGGCCATTGCTATTAGAAGGATGAATAAGGAACCAAGAAGGAATTAGCTTTGTAGCGATGCCAGACTTCTGTCGCCTGTCGCAGGCCAGCTTCTTGGTGCTCTGGCCGCAGCTTCCATCGGCCCGGTGCCGATGGCGGCATTCCGGAGACTCCAGCTTCAAAGGTGTGTGTTGCTGCACATCAGCCAGGCCAGGTCTCTGGGAAGCCTGCCAGGATATGCACTCAAAATGTATATCCAGTATACAGCCACCCGGTATAGCTGGACGTACAAAGACAAGCGAACGAGAGATTCTGACCAGTTCTGTTCGGTGATTTCCAGTAAAGCCAGGCCGAAGCCTTTGCATTCGTCGCAGGGAGTGATGTGGACTCTGGTTTCAGTTCAGCAGTGTTGGATTCCTAGTGAGAAAGGAGGATCCAATGATGATCCAATGATTTGCACAATGAGGATCCAAAATAGATAGATAGACAGATAGATGATGGAACGTCCGCTAGAGTGGCTTCAACTATCCACTCACTGGCAGCTCAGCACTGTTCTGTTTGAGGTGCAACGCTTCCCATTGCCGCTTGACTGGAGTTGCTGCGATCTTGAGGGCAGTTCGTCCCGGGGGCGTGAAATGACCTTGGCTTGGTTGCTGTTCAATTGTACTTCCCCCCAATCGTTGTCAGCCTGTCAACCATTAAAAGAATGTATTCATATAAGAAAAGTCGTTGGTAAATGCCCATCCCTTTTTTGCATACTGCACCACAAAGATAGCTCCTATCTAAAGTGTAGTTCAGCATGCTTGGGTGCAGGGAGCACTCAATGAAAACACCATGGCCCCGCGATCCAGATTGCAACAGCTGCCGACCCTATATAACAGTCATATTAATATAAACACATTGAAAATCCTTAGAACTATAGGAACATGCATCATCAAATGTGTGTGTGGAAGCAGGAAAACCAACACCTTTGTCCTGAGCCAAAACCAGGCCATCCAGTTACCTCATAGCGCAAGTTGTTGCTCACTTTCAGACGGGCCACCTGAAGGTCGGGCTCCGGAGCCGCTTTTGGGTGAACGGAGCTCCCACCAGACAGTGAGACACTTCTGCTCCTGCGAGGTGTTGCAGTGGGCCACTGAGCAAGGAATTCGACTTTTCTTCATGCCAAATAGCAGATAGAGGAGCCAATGTGTGGGTGAAAAGCTTGGCAATCCAATGCAACAGACCTTGACCTTGGTCAGTGTCTTCTAAACCTTTTGACAGACAGCATGACAAATGCCGAAGAAGAAGTGTGTGGCCATTTCCATCACCAGTTCAAGCTGCCCTCCCAAGCTGACGTGGAGCAAGAGGTGTTGGCTCCTCTATCCTAGGAATTCAGAGGAAGCATTCTCTGACAAACGGCCACTGATTTAGCACAAAGGAGACTGTAGCAGCACTGCCAGTACAGTAACTGACGGATGAGGCCAAGGGTAGGTTGGATTGCTCAAGAACCACATGGCCTCTGAGTCAAAAGAATTGAAACACAGGTGTAGATCTATGCAGTGGCCATTGCAGTGAATGCTGACCTGGAGAATTGCAGTGAATGCTATCTTTTTTCTTAGCTCATTGCAGTGGAATCCTTTTTGCAGCTACTTGATTCAAGCTCAGACTTGAATCCGGAATCGCAGCCCGACGGCAGAGGCTTTGCACCCAATCTAAAGTCTTGAGTAATGGCGATGGCCTCCACCCTAGTAGCGATGGCCTCCAACCTAAGAGCGATGGCCTCCAGCCTATAGTAACTCCTAGTAGCATATTGTTTCTAATTGAATTCTTGTTTCTAATAGCAAACATTGTTACTACTAGTAAGGCACTTGTTACTAGTAGCGATGCACTTGTTCCTAGTAGCGATGGCCTCCAGCCTAGGAATGACCTCCATAGGCCATAGGTCAGATCGGGTCAGGGAGATCGCTGAGATCGCTGGGTGAGGGTGCTGGCGTGAGTGGGGTTGCGTGCGCCAGCTTGCGTGCAGGACTTGGAATGAGATCTGGATTCTGTAGGCAGCTAGCGGAGCTAGACATCCCAAACACCAAAGAAAGGAATCCTGATCCTGCAAGGCTGAGCACTTGACCATCGTTTTGACTTAATTTGGCAAGGATTCTTTTTCTATTGCTTTCCTTTGATGCTCAGCCCTGAATTTGTTTCAGGTATACGACTCATCGAGGATAGTAAGATCTCCGCAGAAAAACGTGCCTTGTCATGCAATGCAGAGAGGCAATCCAGCTCCGATGATCCTTGCTGTCGCTCCCTGCACCAAATGTGCATGCTGTCGCTGTTTGACATCATATTCCCAGGTCGAAAGAAATAGAAGCTCCATGAGTGAGTATTGAAGATATTGAAGGCTCCATCAGAAGCCAACCATTTCTAATAGGGATCATCTCAGCTCTGGTGGTTTCGACTGTCCCACTGTCGAGGTGTTTTCGTCCCGCCGGGGTAGAAAGTTTGCTTTTTTGGGGCAACCTTCGGGTTCAGCAATCTGAATCTATGCAATCCAAACCTTCGCAGCGTCCATGTGATTTTCCACAAGTTTCCCCACCCTTTGCGCAACCAGGGCGAGCTTTTGAAGCCTTAAGTCTTAAAGCGTGCGGACTCTTGCGCATCGTTTCATGGCTAAGGTGCCGAGCTCTACTTGAGGCCAAAGATCGACTTAGCCACTGCTAAAAGCCGGGCGGAGCCCATCATTGCAGAGGTTGGCATGTGGAAACGCGGAGCAATGAGTGGTGTTCATGCAGTGTTTGCCCCCTTGCGTGCCTGTTTTGGGATCCTAATAAGCATTTTCGTAAACCGCTGGTGAAAGTTCTCGTAATATAGGAAGTTCTCCTGTCATTTTTTTAAAACACGAGCAACAACTCCAAGCAGTAGAGAGTTGCCCAATGGCTCATCTCCTTCAGAGACTAGATTCTTGTTTATCGCAGTGGGCCGTGGGGAGAAGTCGCATTCAAGACCCAAACCTGCAAGTAAGCAGAGGTGAGCCCGTCTCAAGGGAAGATTGGAACATCAATGAAATTGGTTTTAGGAAAAGTCTATACACAGGAAACCGTTTTCACTGTAATTATGTCTTGTCCCCCCCCCAAAACCATGGGTTTAGACTTTCCCTTAAACCAATTCTGGGAGAATCGTTTCTGATGCCAACATGGGGACGAAGATGTGCCCTGGAGGTGCGCCAAGATGGCGATGCCGCGCTGGCGCGCCTGGCGAAGCGCTTCGATAAGGCAGAGCTGTCGCAGGCCTGTCGCAGTCAGTTGGAAGGCGAACTTCGCGCAGCGAAAGCCAAATGTTTCTTGCTGGAATTGCTGGAGAACACGAAATAAACATGTGACCTGCAGCCGCATTGGAAATAAACAACCGTACGGATTGGAAACCGTACCCTATTTTGCAGGTTCTCATGTCAAATTCATTGGTAAACGCAGTGCTTTGTCATGCGTTTCGCCTAAATAAAAAAAGGCTTTTTCGTGACACCTCAAGTTGCCTGTTTTTTGTGTAGCTAGCTGTCCCCAGTCAGGCTCCGAGTGCAAGTCTTTTTCATCGATGCCATTGTCGGGCAAATCAGCGGCGGCGCACCCATCCGACATGGAGCTGCTACAACGACGCAACAAACGCCAACTCAACACCAACAGTTACCAACAGAAAAGGAGTTAGTTTCTGCCTTTTCGAAAAAGAAAACCTCAACCGCACTTTGCACCAAAGTGTGAACAACGAAAGACGGGCTTCTAACACCTGCTCTCAGTTTACCCTGCCACGATCTGAACCCAAAACTGTTTCGTGAACAAAAGAAACTAAAGGGTCAGAACAACCACGAGTTAAACCGTCTACGTGCTGGTCTAAAGAAAAAGGCTTGGCACACCACAAACGAAGAAACCACAAAAAAAAGGAGGAGGTCAAGGAACACCCGACAACCGACACAACAAAACTAAAGCACACGGTGGCTACTTCTTGAGCCTTCATGCTCATGAGACGTATGTGACAGCAACGAAATTACAACACCCCCCCATGTTTTCTTTTTTTGGGTCCCCGTTTACGCTATTGCTTCAACTTGGTTAGTTATCTTGCGATATGCTCTTACGCAATGCATTGACGTGCCATAATATTTGGCTCAAGGTATGTGCGTGTGAAAACAGCCGCTCGATCGCCTTCGCTCACTGGCTCTTGTGAACCTTGTTGGACTGTGAGTTGAATCCAGGGATACTACTGTGTATTATTACACGCTCCACTGCGGGGAATTTGACCCTCACCCCACCCCCCACCCCCCCCAACACCATGTGATGACATGACCAAGCGTCGTGGAGTCCGAAAATGTCAGAAAAGTGGGTCCGGTTTTCAGTCCCTAGGCATAAACAAGTCTCCGTGTTGGACTTAATAAGTCAAACTAACACAATTTTTGTTTGGAAAGAGCTGGAATACATGATCGAATGACCCAACCGGGGCGTCCAATGGCCCCATACCAAGAGTCTGAAAAGAGACAACTACCGTACCATGCAACACCGTGCATGTGAAGCGGGGCATCACCCAAAGCACTGGCCTCGCAGGATGATTTGGTCATCGACGTGGCAAGTGCACCATGGCCAAAGGCAAGCAGTCTTGCTTTGAGGAGAGGGTCTTGCTCTGCCTTGCTCGTTGTTGGCTTGATCAACGATTTACAGGGTTTCGTGGGTGTGCAGGTTGTGTAGATATCCCAGTGCCCACACTCACACTCTTCAAATTTTTGTTGAGCGGCAGCTTCATGGTTGGGGGTTTCTTAGCATCAAGTCCAGCCAATGGAGCTGGGCAACCAATCCTTGACCGCATGAATCGGGCTGGCACTCTAAAACTGTGAAAAGCAATGAATAAGACGAAACACTTTGCCTTTCGCGTTTGCAAATGTCCATTTTGGCACCTTCAGCGAGAGAGGGAAATAGATAGATAGATAGAGACAGACAGACAGACAGACAGACAGCCAGCCAGGCAGGCAGGCAGGCAGGCAGGCAGGCAGGCAGGCAGGCAGGCAGACAGACAGACAGACAGACAGACAGACAGAGAGATAGACAGACCGACCGACCGACAGACAGAGAAAGAGAGATAGAGAGATAGAGATATAGAGAAATACATTCATAGATAGATAGATAGATGGATGGATGGATGGATGGATAGATAGATAGATAGAGTTGTGTTGCACTTAACCCGAGTCAAGGTCTTACTGCAAAAGGACAAATTGACCCCAACCAAGGAGAGATGCAACGAAGACTAGAGCACAACGCGTTAGTACAGGACCATTGTGCAGAGACTGCTTCGCAATTATGGATGGATGCAGACGTTATTGTGTGATATTGCATGCCCATATCTTGGATGCAGTGCTCATTCGGCTTTCCATTGCCACCAAGCAAGTTTGCCTCATGTCTTCCAACAAAAAGACAAGCTCTTCAAAGTGTCTTCGAAAGATCAGCAAGACAGACGACACACACACACACACATTTGTCACGATGCGAGACCCGTGCTAGTGCCAATGATAAAGGCACCTGACCTCAATGTTTTGGGGCCACTCTCGGTCTTTTTCAATGTAGGGATGTTCCAGGCACTGCACTTTGACACAAGAGGCTGGCGAGACAAGTTCTAGAGCTTTGAAGGTTTGTAGCTGGAGAAGGATGTGATTGCAATATATGCTGAGTGCGGTGCCCATCTTTACCTTGGTGTGCAGCCAAGTCCTAGTGATAAAGCCGCATTGCGCAAAACAAAAACAACTCCAGGTGGGCGGCTTGTTTGTTTTGCTGGCTTTTAAATGTGATGCTCCTGCCAACACTGTGCTGATATACTTGTAAGCTGTAAAAGAAGCAACTCTGTTCCGTGACTCTTTGCCCGACACTATCGGCAAATCGACCACCTACGAAAGCACTGTATTGTGCTTGTTTGTTCCATGCAGTCTTCTATTGTGTTTGTCGTGTACAGTACAGTATCTTTCACACTTACGGACAATTGCACAGCCCTGAAGACCACGGGTGTTTTCATACCTTGGTCACCCCATCGGATGGCCACCGTCATTAGTCCTTTGCATGAAAGGGGCAATGAACAAAGCGACCAGCTCTTGATCCAGGACATGTTGTGCACTTTTTTCACTTTCGTTTAGAGCACCGGCGAATGGCCTTCAACGTTCAACGGTGTGCAGGTGGAGCCCAAAGTGGCCAAGTCTTTGGATGCCGCCTACGAAAACGTGCGACGCTTCCACGCTGCACAGGCAGCGCCGGCAGATACGCTGCTTGAAGAGTCTTCAAACAGCTTGAACGACCTCCCAGGCTTCCCTGCGATAGCATAGAACCAGAACCACATCCTATACTCACTACCAGAAGTCGCCCAAGGACGTAGCTACCAAGCAAAGATAACGTTGCTATGTGAGGTGTTCTCAAAAGGGAGTCCAATAAGCTTTGTGCTTCAATAGTGCCAGAAGCCAGAAGCCTGAACATTTTGCCTCAGAAGAAGCCGACCTTGTGCGTGGAGACGATGCCTGGTGTCGAGTCCTCCTCTTGGCACTTTCTGGACACAACACACACACACACATGCACACGTTCGGGAAGTTGTCCTTGGCCGTCAAAGGATCTGTTTTGAGTTCTTGTCTCCCACAGAAAGGACTTGGTTGGAATTGCCGAGGTGCCGGCGCATTGCAGTACCCATTGAGGCAAGCTCGGAGTGAAGGAAATGTGATGACAAGGGATATTGGGTCCAAACCGATTACTCATCAAACACTCTCCCCTCTTGGTGCTTTGATGCTTTGGATAATGGTTCTGGAAGGTTTCTCAAGATTTTGATTGCCTGGATGCCGTTTACAACCGGTTTTGTTCTTCAACCGGAGCACGCCCCATACTCGCAATGGGAGTGCAAGCTCTTCGATGAATTTACATGGACAGCAGAGGCCTTCCTGGAGAACTTGTGAGCAAAAATCCATGTCCGTTTGGATTTTACGTTTGACGGATGGCTCGTAGATTACATGGATGCGTGCTTGGAGGCGTGCTCTGCAATCTCATGAGTCTCAACCCTCTGGCCACTCTAGAGTGCTTTCTGGACACATGAGTGCATTGAGTGCATTCATCTACATGATCGCCATGCTTCAGGCGGTGGGCCTCTATGTGCCTGGTGGCACCGCTGTTTTACCCTCGACTGCGTGCCCCGACATGGCACAGTCCTGGCAGCAACCGTGCCAAAGGATACGATTGACATAGGCCAGTGCCAGGTCAATGCCTTTGTTGATTTATACTTCGCAGTAGTCCTTTGCGGTCCGGGTACTTCAGCTGCACAGGTACATGCTAGCTGCGCCGGCCAAACTGGCTGGCTGCAAAGAGGCCACTGTGCACCGAAGTACTTGCGCTCAAAGAGCAGGGCTCGTTCAGTTTCTGTCAGTTCCTTCAGTCCAACCGCTTGTGTAGCAGCGTGATGGGCCGTGATGGGTGCTTGATTGATCCTGATTGCATGTCAGATTGTTCTGGCCACTCCACCTCGAGCGGATGGCAGCATTTGCCCGGAGGTGGGCACATGACTTCGCTGGTTTCTCACTAGAGAAAGATAGAACAAGCACGAAGAAGTTCAAACAAGTTATATACTTACAAGTTCCGGATTTGTGTTTTTTTTCTTTTACTTGGCAGGTGATTTATGCCGCCAAGCGTGCGGGTGCCACCAAAATCCTGAAGGCGGGTGGTGCACAGGCCATCGTCGGGAGGCCCAGCATTGTTCCATGACTCCACCCGGTTACACTGGGTGCTGTGTGCAAACGAAGCTACAAAAATCATATATACATGTAGCTGAATGTGTATATTACATAATATGTGTATATAGGCAGACACTACTCATTCTACTTTGGCTGTGGCTCAAAATACTTCCTCCAAGATCTAAAGACAGGTAACGCCCCAAGGGCTCAAGAGCAAAGCAAGCTTGATTGTGAAAGCAAAGCCGGTGAGAAACTGGTAGGGATGTTCTGAAAACCTGCGACCGAAAGTAAGGCGGGAGACGGCCTTTTCATGGCCTTTTCAGCTTTCGCCGAGCCAACGGTTTGACCGCTGAGGCAGCCATGGCCTTTGGCACAAAGAGCTGCCCAAAGGTTGAGAATTCAGTCTCAGCTTTCTTGTTTTACAACAACGATTTCCTGTAGTTTGAAGGACAACCTCACTCTAAAGCCTGCGTGCAAGATCTTGCAGGTGCACAAGATTACCGGACCTGGCAACCAGTATGTGACCGCAGCAAAGATGATGCTGCAAGCCGATGACGAGGCTGCTAGTTCTTTCCGTGTTCGAAGTAGGAAGGGAGTGCGCTTGCATAAGCGAGTGCCACTTGCGAATTGTGTAATTATGTGTAATCGCCCCTTCAAAATGTCCGTCGGCAGGCAGCTGTGTCCATCGACATGCCAGCCGGCCCATCGGAGCAGCTTTGTGATGGCCCCAGCAAAGCTAGTCTCTCGTGGAATCTAGTGTGATCCAAGTCACCGTCCGGAGTGGATTGAGACACATGGAGTGAATATATATATATATAATATGTATATTATATGATATGCGTAAATCTCTCTCTCTCTCTATATATATATATACTTGGATCTAATTGGGTCTACTCATCTGACGAGTGAAGGGTATCGCAGAGGTTTTGAGACCCAGTTTGACCCCCTTTCGTCACCAGTGAACTAGACGCCCCGAAGTCTTTGTTCTTGTAGAAGTCCTTGTAGGTTGGCACCGGACATTGTATTCTTGGTTCTGTTGCATTCCTGTTGCAGCAGAGTATAACTATATATTGTATTTGTCACACAAGTCCTACCTTGCAGGCATTTTTGATGTGACCAGCGACCCTTCCTTCGTGGTAGCAGACTTGCTCTCACAGGCCAAGATTGTCTCTTCATCTTTCAGAATGGATCAACATAGGCAAATGCCTTACTGGCCTCAAGAACTCTGCAGCTTGTGAGGCTGCGGAGGAGGTTTACCCCTTGTTTCAACCCAGATCCGGCTTGGTCGTAACTATATAGGTTTTGGCAAGCCAAACTTGTCTTCGACAAGGCATCCGTCCGCCTTTGCGCAGGCTGAGCACGGTCCTGACTCCCAAGTAGTGGGTGCTGCCCTTGGCAGAAAGAGAGACAAAGGTTTAAAAAAACATAAAACAGACTGATGTATAAGGACTTACAATGTACATACCCTCGGATAGAGAAGATGGTGCAGAAGGTACATCTAGAGGTAGGCAATCAGATAGGACAGACGGAATCTCGCATAGATTGATGGTGCTCCTGCGAAAGCAATTGCACTGAACGATGCACACAACCTCACTGCGCCAATTGTTTGATGTCAGGTGTTTTTGTGAGTCCTTCAGGCAGGGCAGCAACCGACTTTTGTTTGATTGCGAAGCTTCAAACAATTCACATGAAATGGGACCTCTGATCTCGCTTTTAGACCAATGATTGCCAATGAAGTTGTGGACTGTAGACACATTGGATTGTTGCCGGAGCTATACACATTTTGTCAGCCTATGCAAAATTATGCAAAGCCAAACTTAAAATAGCTTGACAGAAGCAACCGGCAAGGTGAGACCCAGAGCTATTTGTCCAGACTGCGAGAAGAATTCGAGCAGCAGACCAGCAAGTTGTCCAGACGGGACATCACGAAGGCAGGGCACGAAGTTGAAATACTTTGAAATACATCGCATCATTTTATCTTTAAATGGGGGGTAGGCCGCTTGTTGAGGTGGGTTAGCTAGAGTAGCTAGTAGAAGCTAGGTAGCTAGTACCTACAAGTAAGCTACTACATATGGCGGGGGAAGCTTCCTTGAAGAAGCGCTCGCACTTCCTTCGCTTCCTAGAATTTTAGGGAAACTTACGGGGGGTATACTTTAGTGGTATATATATATATATTATTTTGTTTTTTAGCGGGATATATCTTTTTATGGCTTAGCTGGCGAGAGGAAGGAAGGCAGGACGGAAGGAAGGAAGGCAGGAAGGAAGGAAGGAAGGAAGGCAGTTGCAAAACTTTGCCCAGATACCCAGCGCAGAGACCATTGCAGTTATCAAAGGAAGATTCATTGGGGAAACTCTGTGACATCTGTTTTGTGGTCGAGCCAAGTTACAGTACCACAAACCAACCAACTGTGCCATGGTTGGTTATGAACCGGTCAGGCTGCTGTTGTCACTAGTTTGCATTGCGGGGAGGCGCTGCGCCCTTCCCCGCGCCTTCTCCCGCTTTTAATTCCCCAGATAGCGAAGCTATGGGGTTCTTACTTCAAATAACAATGAGTTGCCCGTGCGCGCTTTCGAGACAGGTTGCTGGTGCTGGTGCTGGGTGCCGGTGCTGGTGCTGTGAGCTGGCTGTGCACGTGGTGGAGACAGGTTGCTGGTGCTGGTGCTGGGTGCCGGTGCTGGTGGTGTTGCTGGTGCCGGTGCTGGGTGCCGGGTGCCGGTGCTGGTGCTGGTGCTGTGAGCTGG